ACCACGAGGCGCGCCACCGTCACCGTCGGCGTCGAAGCCGACGGAACTCACAGTCGCGATCCCGCGCGCAGCGTCCTCCGCCCGCGCCGTCGCGGCCAGCAGTCGGATCCGTCCGCCCCGCGACGCCGGTCGGCACGACGACCGTCGCGCCCGGCGATACCGAGGCCCTTCACCGGCGGCGGGGATGGCGGCGCCGTGTCGGCCGTGTTCGAGCGCCGGCATACTCTGAGGACGAGAACTACGGGCAGCATGGTGGAGGTGCGGGCCTGCGACGCACCAGAGGGCGCTACTACGCGTTGGTCGCCGACACCGACGACGACGACCGCACGACGACGACGACGCGGTGATGTTGAGACGGCGACGCGAGCGCGTGCCCGCGGGGCGCGGCAACGCTGGAGCAGCGGTTCGCAGGAAGACCTGCGAAGACATGGGTAGGAGGAGGAGGAGCGGACGTGAGAGACTCGGCGATCTTACAGCGACCAGCGCTGAGACGGCGAGTTCGCGTTCCCGGCCGAGCCGGGCGACCCCTACAGAGAGGCCGGCGTGGACCTTTACAGAGAGGCCGGCACGACCTCGGTCGCAGGGATCGACAGCAGGCACGGGTGGTGACCGCGCGGTATGAACAAGTGCGGGAACGAGTACGAGGTGAATAGTATGCTGAGGAGATGCAGAACAGGCCAGGCCTGCCACCGACCAACACCGGGCCCACGACGCGGGCAGCTACCCACCGACCGACCCCCAGGGGCCCTCTCGTAGCGGCGCGAGTGAAGGAGCTGTACAAGCTGGAGCGGGAGGATGCCGCGATCGCTCCCCTCATTCCGCGGAGAGGTCGGCGAGGAATGTCGCCGTCGCTCGCGAGAGCTCGATCGCCTGAACCGGCGTGCGTGAATCAGCAACGTCGAGCGCGCCGCCGATGTCCAGAGAGAAATCGCCGTCGCTGCAGGACAGGCTCGATCGGTTATCCGAGAGCATCGGCGCGCAGAGAGGCAAGTCTGTCGGGCCGCGGCGGAACTCTCGAAAACCTCGGAAGAAACTGTCGACGCAAATTTCCGTGTGCCTTTCTGCGAGAGAAGCCATCATCACTTCAGGGTACTCCCGATCGATTCGGGTGCCCGTTACCGCGAACAGGAGGGTGAGTTCATTGAGGCACGCTCCCCTGCGGTCGCATCCCTGCATCAAGGCCTCCGAGAACCTACCGTCGCGCGTGACAGAGAAATCGAACTTGTTCGAATGGAGAAGTCGCCGGTTGCTACAGAACAAACTCGACCGGCTCGAGAAAAGCATCAACGGAGGCCGACGCGGTCGTCTCACGAGACGCAGCCAGCGAACGCGACGGTGTCGTGACTAGGTGGCCCCCCGAGGATCTCGATTCTGAAGGGGATCTGACGGCCAGACGGCTCGACTCTACGCGCTCCTGTTCGAGGCAGGTACGCGAGCGCAGTCACCGACAATACACGGAGCGCGTTCGACTGCTTCAGGAAGTACACATGCTCCTCCTCCTCTCCGCACACATCGATTGCCAGCGTACACCGTGAAGGAATCGCGTTCCGTGTCTATCATCCAGACGCGCAGCAGCCATGGCTCCAGGACGGGCGCACCTACGACCGCGCACGTCCGCGACGCCACGAACGGCGAGGATGAAATCGGCGTCGCTCCCCAGGCACTGCCACAGGATCTTCCCGCCGATCCCCTACGTCACACTTCGGCTTTGGTCGGGCGACGGAGTTCTTCTGCAGGATGGCGGGGAGGCGGAAACTTTTCCTCGCCGACAGTGGTGAAGCGGTTCAATCGTCGTTCAACGTTTTACGAAGAAAATCTGCTGTGCGTCGTGAGGCCGCGCGGACGGCTACATACGCGGTTCTACTGACAGTCTGCGCCATCGCAGTCTTTCGGCGAGCGCTTGCTGAAGAGTCCTACGGCCGCGTGTCGCCGTGCAAAGCAGACTGAAGCATCGCTCAGCAGCAGCAGCAGACGGCTGTATACTAGGAAGAGGAACAGCTTTTGGACCTAGAACAAACTGCCTTAAATCGGATTTGCTTCGTTCAGACGCAAGTGGTGCCACAGTGCCGACGTCGCAAGCGTTGGGTATAGACAGGTCGTTTCACAACTGCAACGGAACGCCGTGAGCAGTATTGAGGCAAGTAATCAATTAGTGATCATCTACCTATATACATCGAAACCTCATAACTTGGGTTGATCTAAATGTATGATTAGTAAGTGACGTGTCGAGTTTATGACATTGTTAACAAATTTTGCTACGCTACAAGCAAGGCTCGCTGCTAAAACGTTAATTCTTTTCGGTTTTTACTGATAAGGATTCGACGCTGAAAGTTCGTACGCTTGTGCAGATTTTAAATCTCTGCCGAGTTTGTGCCGTCACATGATCTTTCTTAAGGCGCTGGGATATCCTTACCCGATTAATTCATCGGGTCTTAAATCGTAAACTATAGTGCATAAACATAAAGGTCCTAAAAAAAATGGCTACAAATACGATCGATTTAAGTCCTGAATGACCGTTAGCGCGTAGATCTCACATGAGCATGTTGCGCACTAGCAGCCTCTCAAGTTATCTAGCTGCCAGTGATAATTAGGACATAGATGATAGATGAACGTACTTTTCGTGCATTGACAATGTCTGAACTATATAT